GATTTATGTGCCTAAGATTCAATGTACCATAACAGTATCGAGATTGCACTGGTCTCCGCAAGTGGGCACGGTGGTACAAACTTGTAATCCCGTCAGCTGGGGGTGAGAGAGAGTACAAGTCAATGCTTTGGCATTTTACTGGTTCTCATCACTTCTAAGTTATACAGATAAATGAAAGTCATATTTTAAAGGTACAAACATCACACTTGGAAACACACATCTATATGTAATTGAAAATAAATATGCAATCTTTAAATGACAGGGAGCCATATTCAGACCAGATATCGTTTATTTACTTATTTCGTTGTGAAACATGGGATCACACTCACTGCAGCTTCTGGCTGACGTAGCAAGTGTGATTGGTCTCCAGCATAAAGGCTGAAAATGTTTTGATGCTGATTTGAAGAAATGGTGACCGTGGGGGAATAAGAAAGGTAAGATTCAGCTTGCCATGATGACACATACCTGCAATCTCAGCACTTGGGAGGATCAGGAGTAACAAGTAACTTCAGCTACATAGTAAGTTTGAGGCCAACCTGGGCTACATCAAACGCTGTTTTAAAACAAAGCAATGCTACAGGTAAAATTCTGCACCTTTGGCATAGACGTGGCTATAAACCCAATACATGCCTTTTGCTCACAAAGCTACTTTGTTTTTTGTGTGGTAGCTTCTCTATCCATCCATATGCATTAGAAGTATGAGGGTGTCATGTCTGCTGATATAACTCCTAAGTTACATCAGCAGACACCAGTATGAGATCTGCTTTCCCATGCAGTTCTCACTCCTGTCTGCACAAAACCTTTTAGGTCTCTCCAACATGTGAAAAGAAACAGAGTCTGATATATGCTAGGCCGGCCTTGAATTCTGCATGTAGCAAAAGGTGATGTTGTGTCTCTGTTCTTCCTGCTCCAACCTCCTGAGTTCTGGGATTACAGGTGTATACTACTGTACCTGATTTATGCATCATCGGGATTGAACCCAGGGCTTTGTGCATGTCAAACAAGTTACCACCTGAGCTCAGTGTCCTCATCTTTGACTCATCTTCACTCAGGGAAGTCTGGCATCCCTGTCTCGTCCTGGGTTTCTCTTTCATATCACCCCAGGGTGCACCAGCCTTTGCTTCTGGGTTGGAAATCCTTTTTCTCTCCCTAGGGCAGAGGTGACCAGTCATCTTTTTAGTTGATCTCAAGTTAAGTTCCCTCTCACTGGCTGCATGTAGCACGCACATCCCCTGTAGAGGAGTCAGGCCTCTGCCTACTGTAGTATGGCAAGATTAGCAAAGGAAGCCGACAAACCTTCTAGGGCTTTAGTCACTCCCATGTTTCCCATGTTCAATGCTTAATTTTTGCTTTGTTTCATTTCGGTTTGTTTTGTTTTTTTCCTCTTAGAGTCTAGATGAAATATATATTAAGACTAAAAATGGGAGCTGTACAGAGAACTTGGGCTGGGCTTGGGGTCAAAAGAGGTTCAGAACAATAGGAGATAAACACAGTAAGACTACAGGGCAAAAGATAGGTAAGAAAAGTAACGCAAGGGGAAATAAGCAAGACCTGGAGACCTGTGTGTGTGTGTGTGTGTGTTTGTATGTGTGTAAGTGAGCATGAGACACAGAAAGAAACAGAGAGACAGAAAAAAAAGAGGACGACAAAGACACAGGCAGAAAACTAGAGACACAAAGACAAA